TATTTGAAAAATACACACAAAACTAAGTTTGATGAGAATATATTCATTTGTGGAACGCAAATAATGAGATATAAAGCAATTTTGTCAATTTATATGGGTTTGATGCTGGACATACTTTCCTCACGAGTATATGCTCCTGGCCATTCTCTACTCAAACAGCTCAAAAACTATGTCAATATAAAGCCTAGTTTCCACTTTTAACAGACCAAAATATCTGTCATATTTTTCCTTGTTCAATACATGCATATGCAGAAGTTTACAATAGGAAAATTCATAAGAAAGTTCATATTTTATCCTCACAGGAGTTTGAAAAGGGACTATATCCAAAATGGGTATCAAAAAGTTATACACCTAAAAGAAAAAAGAAAATAAAAAGGCCATATATGCAGGAAAAGGGGAATGTGATAGGAATAGATATCCAAGGAGATATTGAGAGAGTGATGTAGTTCCTACTGATCATTTACTAAGCAGTCAAATTTTCAAGCGGAAATTATTAAAATGAAATATAATTAGCAGTGTGCAGAGATGTTGTAAATTTTACCATGAGAAAGCTGGTATAAACATAGGAGTCCTGCATAATTGTTATAACAAACGGATACTCAGAAGTAAATGACAAAGCCCTTTGAAGAGTCCTTTCCACTTCCTCCTCTGTGACAGGTCGTCGCTGTGATATGAAAGCTCCTATCCTAAAAATAGCTGCCAGAAAGAACATATATAAGAGGCTAAGATATTGCAAGAACCAGTGAGGACATGAATGCGAGAGCTTACATCTCTGTCGGCAAGCACTTTCTTCAGACTTTACCAATGCCAGGGTACCACTAGATTTCCTTGATGTGCTCCCTTTAGTTGACTGAGGACTACATCTTGACACTGCCACACGTAAATCCAACATAAAACACCAAATTGTCAATGTATAGACTTTACACTTTGTTTGGAGGGAGGAATAGGTTACCTTGACCACTCTGACAACATAACTTGACCTGTTTATTGATTTTAGAGCATCGAAGAGAAAATGCAGCAGTTTTATGTATGCTTTCCCCATTCCTATGAATTGGTGTGTCTCTACTGAAACTGCTAGAGAGAAGAGGTGAATATGACTCGTACTCTTGTTTCGGAATGACTAGATCTTTACATTCCAGGGTAGGATGATCTACAAACATCAAAATATCTAAAAACTCAGGCAATCAAAGCAAAGAGAACCAGGCGTTATAGGAAGAAGTAAAAAAAAATCAACCTTTTCCACCATCCGAGACCAACCTGGTACCTTTTGGGGTTGCTTCAGCTCCAGAGTCCAAACTAAGATGGGCTACAAACATCAAACGCTTCAAATTAGGCAAAAAAAAAAAATCTACTATTTCTCAGCTGTGCTTGTCTCAGAGCTTTCTTGTATATTAGAAAGCCCCAGAATTCGAACTACATGACACCAAAATGCGCCAAGAATATGCAGAATAGATGAGATCAAGCTGGCTACCACTAATTATGCTCACTAATAAAATCAAGGTTTCCGTAGTATAAGTTGAAAATTATTTTCAAGGGGAAAAGGAAAAGGACCATACCCTCTCCACAAATCGAACTTGACTTCGATCTTTTTGAGTTTGATTGGTCGACTTCAGACTGAAGTTGTTTCCTCTTCTTATAGGAACCATTTACATCAAACAGATTATTACTCCCCCTACTCCTCTTCAGAAACCCGTTCAATCTCCTATTTGTGAAATGAATCAAAGGCTTGTTGTCCTCCTCCTCCTCATCTTCCTCCGTTTCCTTCGATTCCTCGCTGTCTTCAAAAAACTCGGTATCTTCTTCTATGCTCGGTCTCGCGAGAAAAGCCTTCTTTTTCTCACAAGCCGTCGAGTCAAACACCAAAACTTTAAACCTTGAATTCCCATTATAACGAAAAACCAAGAAATCTCCGACAGCCAGAGATTGATCCGCAACAAATTCCTTCCACCCGTCTTCAAACACGAACCCGTCACAATCCTTAACCAAACCTACTTTCCAAATGCCCCCACTTTGGCCCTTTAAATAAACAATCTTGCTAGATTCAACCTCAATACGCTCCCGAAACGCCGAGGGAATCCTCTAAACAATCCAAAACTTCATCAAAATCTAAACTTTAACAAAGAACGACGATCAAGACCAAAAATTTAATAGAACCCCTAACCGCACGAGGCAAGGAGAGAGCAGTTACCAGATAATTCGACGATTGATCGGGGAAGAAGACCTTGAAGAAGTAGCGAGGCGTCGATTTCGCCATTAGAGAGCAGAGACCGTTGGATCGATCTCTCAATCTCTTGATTCTCCTCCTCCTCCGCAGGCTATTGAGGATCCTGGGGGGGTCAACGAAGACTTTTAGTTAGCTTCGAGGCTCTAAAACCCTAGAGCGAGGGTTTAGGATATGAAATCAGTGAATAAGAAATTGGACAGGAGTTCCAACACTCCTCAGTGAAGATCGAGTGACGTGACAAGTGTAGGTACACTGCCAAAAAAAAAACGCTTCAGGTCTTTTCAGCCGCTTGTCATTTTTTACCCTTGTTGTTTTCACTTTTTTTAACTTTTTGACGTTAATACTGGTTTTACCTTCTCGCCTGCATGCGACCACGAGCCACTAGAAAAAGATTCTCCCTGACTTCGAGGTCAGAAAGAGGATGGTAGGGTTTGTTTTCATATTTTGGCAATCAGTTTGTTTGGCTTAAAAAAAAAAGAAAGAAGAAAATCAAAGAATAAGAAATCTATTTCTTAAAAAAATTATTTTATGGTTGTTTGGTTGGCTAAAAAAAAAGAAAATCAAATAATAGGAGATGAGATGAGATGAGTTGTCACCATATTATTGGATGATTAGGAGGCGGCAATTAGAGAGATTACCAAGTAAAATATATTGTTATGGACGATCACGGCCCCTCGGTTCTCATAAGTTATTTTCAAGTAATCTCCCCGATTGCTATTTCTACTCTTGATAGGAGGGACTAGTTTGAAAATAACTTAAGTAATTGGAGGAACTAATAGCAATTTCAATGATTTGAGGAACTATTTCAAAAATAGCTTAAGATTCGAGGGACATAATAGAAAGCTTAATGATTTGAGGTGCTAATTAAAAGTAAGAAAGATTTAAGGTGCTAATATCGAAAAAGAACCCACCGTTCATGTTCGACAGAGGAGTATCTAATGAGTCTCATGATTTTTTTGAGATAGGATGGTATCTCAGTAGAATCATTGTGTATGTGTTTATTGGTTCTACTCAATTATCTCTAGTTGGACGTAGAGATAATTATAACTCGCATAATGTTAATTTTGATTAAATATTAACCCATTTTGAGTTAGATTATTGAGTAGCTCAGAAAATTTGTTGGACTCGTTTTATAAATTCATATTTTGATTGACCTGTTTTAAACTAAACATGAATTGGAAATCGATATTAAAAAGTCTGATTTATTTTGTTACTTATTTTTCAAACTAGGGGTTAATTTCACTTTAATACCCTAATGTTTTATTTATTTTTAAAATTTTACCTAAACAATACCCTAAAGTTTATCAGCTCAAAAAATACCCTAAAGTTTCACAAACTTTTAACCTGTCTTATTTTTACTTAGATACCCCAAAGTATCAATCTATTTGTCATTATTGATGGCGTCATCCAAAATTCATTATATTTTTCTATCAAAATTGTATCATGTGATTAGCATGTAATATATTTAGATAATTATACACCTCTGATGGGATATCCCATTTCTAATAGAATTGCACAAAGTATAATCAAGCAAATGCTCATCATGCATGCTTAAAACATAATACTTGCAAGTATGTAGTGGAGAATAGTTTTCCATGAGAGGTGTGTAATAGAAAAATATAACAAAATTTTCGCAATGGAATCAAGGTGAAAATAGGGTTAATTTTTTTTGGCATCAAAGTATTGAAAGAACTTTGGGGTTATCACGATTAAAAATAAACATTTTACCTTTTAGCTTTCAAGATAGGGTATGCTAATTTTATTTAAAGTTATTGCATGAATCACGTGATGAAATTGTACTTTTATACTTCTAGATTAACAATAAATCCCTCTATTATTTCTTCCTTAAATTGAAATATTTTCAAAGTTAGGATTGAATAATAGCAAAAATAACCAAAGTTTAACAATATTTGCAACATTAATAGAAAAAACTAAATTAATTAAAAGAAAGAATAAACAAGAAAATATTTTGCCAGAATGTAATTAATGGTAATGTATAGATGGTATACTGAAGTTAGAAAAGTATCAAAATTAAAAATCGATGAAACTTTATAAGGTATAAAAATACAATTAAGCCAAAAAATTAGTATATCTACTACTCTTAACTTAAAAGCAAAACCTTGAAATAACTATTCATGCTATAGTAAAAAAGAATTCTTTTTTACGGTATGACTGTTCATGCTATAATTTTTCTAAAGCTTAATAACACTGTTCATGTTACTATACTTTTGTCCATTTGCCCCCGTTCAAGCCAAAGTGGAATTTTATAACCTAAAATTACTGTTCATATCTCTTTTTTAAAATAATTTGATCATTTATCTGACATTTCACATGTACATATTTTTCTAGCTCTATTAAAGAAAAATGATAAAACTTGTTAATTAATATATTATTTTATTAACTAGTTTAAAGATTCACTCTATAAATATTAGTAAAAAATTCATCGAGCTTTTATAAAGGATGAATTTTCATTTTTTTGACACTTTCTAAAATTTGTTTAGCATTCTCGACCTATTTTGCGACTAATTACTAATTTCGACCCAGTTTTTAGCCACCTGGCCGAAATTGATAAATAAGTGCTACGAACTACACAATTGAGAATCATGTATAGTTTAGCAGAAAATTAAGGTGCATGAGATTCTCAATCCAATGTAGTTTAGAACTCTAATAACTCAATCCCATGTAGCTAGTTTATAACATAGAAACTACGAATGATTCATAATTTCATGCAATTGGCTGAGTGGTTAGCCCTAACAGAGTTAAGAGTTCAATAACTCTAATGGTTTTGATTTTAAATATTGTGATGACCAACATCAAATTTTTTTCTTTTAAAATTTATTTATTCAGAAGTTAAACATCAAAAATAATCTAAAATTCAAACAATGGCCTTTCAACTCATAATTTAACTCTCAAGCTGTTAACTACTAAACAAGCTACACAAGATTGTGAATTTTATATAGTTTAAATGTTATTGTAGGTGTGAAATTTGATTTCCCGAAATGGTGATTTCGTTTGTATTGATAAGAACAGCTTATTACAAATTAATGAATCAAAGTTATAACAGAAGCGGAGGGAAAGCCCTCATTGTTTAACATGGGGTCTTTGGTAACGATAGGATGCCTCCCTCGGTGTTGGAACCGGGTTTGCTTCCCTTAGACTATCCGAATGGAGTTGCAGGAGAGCTTCAGTATGCAGTAGAAGCTCGTACCGATCGAGTTCGAGTTCCCGAGCTTAGTGGCTATCAAGGGTGAAAGCTGAAAGAAGTTGCTACAGTGTAAGGACGATGTAAAGAGCGGGTCGCCAGCCAACTGAGAAGTGAGCTAATCACCCGAAGAGCAAGCCTCAGCGAACTTGTGAGGAAGCGACCCTCTTCACGTAGTCAGGAGTGACTCTTAAATAGGGAAGAAACAACATGATCACGCCCTTGAATCATATGATGTGACCATGCACTGTTGAGAGATGCCATACCTCTCACTTGTATTGTGAGCGGCTGCTTGATGGGCTCGGAGCACTGTACTCCTCCCCTTCACGTCGCGGGAAATGGGAAGACCCATCCATGTGCGTGACATCATAGTCGCCGGGTACTCTGGTGAGTTTAGCGAGTTTGTTGATCGTCTGGCTGATTGCTAGGACGTGCAGACGAGCTTAGCGCTTGAGTGAACTTGACTCGTGCAGGCGAGTCAAGTATGCAGGCGAGCTTCTGATCGTCTGGTCGTGCGAGTGAGCTTGGCGATTACGTGAATTTGACTCGTACTGGCGTGTCAAGCACGCGAGCGAGCTTCGTTCGTGTTGGCGAACTCAACTCTTGAGTGGGCTTGACTTGTGCCGGCGAGTCAAGCATGTAGACGAAATCGAGCTCTTGATGGCGGGCTTGACGATTAGAGCGAGCTTGTCTGGTTCTTATGGGTGCGGGCGTACTCATAAAGGCGGACTTTTAGGTCTTCCTCTTGTCAAGGCAATTTTTATAGCCTATAGTTATAAACTACACGGGGTTCTCAATCTCATCTAGTTTAGTAGAGGTTTGAACTACACGAGATTGAGAATCCTGTGAGTGTAATTTTCTGCTATTAACTATACCGGATTCTCAATCTTGTATATTTTTTTTACGAGTGCTGCTACGGGGACCCAAAATATGGGACCAATGGAGGGGACATGTGATGTGTCCCCTCCCTATTGCATAATGAGTTGGCATGAGTTGGCATGATCAACTCATTATGCAATAGGGAGGGGACACCTCACATGTCCCTTCCCTTGGTCCCATATTTTGGGTCCTTAAATCATTTTTCATTTTTACAGTTATTTATCATTTTCGACACAGTTTCAGCCGGGTGGGTGAAATTAGATCGAAAATGATAAATAAGTACCAAGTGGGTCGAATATGCTAAATAAATTTAAAAAATGGTAGAAAATAAAAATTTGTCCTTTTATAAATAACTATACTATTATACTATGCATAAAAATCATATTATCAGAATTAATACTAGTGCATTCTACGCGACAACTAATTATAAAATTATAAAACCCCAAAAAAGGGGGGAAACGATTTAGTGTTTCTTCTCTTTGCTGCCCATTACTTCGGGATCGCTACGAGAAGCGCGATGGCGACGCACGATGATTCCAGATCTCCTCAAAAGAAAGCAGCGGATGATATCCCCATCTACAGTGCAGAGAATCTCCAAAGCAACATGAAATCGATCTACTACAGGTCTCTCCTCAAACCCTAAAGATTCCATCTTTTCTACTACTCGTTTTGTTCTTCGATTAATTTTTGAACTTTTTTTAAAGACCCGAAGTTGTGCTAGAAGCTCAAATTTGGATGATGTGAGATCTGACAGGACTAAGCTAATTTTCAAAATCTTAATTTTTAGTTTCAATTTTCCATCTGAGACGGAGATAACAAGAAAATGAATAAATGAAGATAAAAATGCTTCCTTTTCCATCGTTAGATAAGAAAAGGTTGAATTATCATCCTTTAATTTGAGCAATACATCGAATTTGATCAGATGCTTAAAGTTTTAATATGGGTGTTCGTATATTGTGATAGTTGCTTATCCACTTGGCTTGAGGGCTTTTACATGTATGTGTGAGGCTTTAGGCTTATGTGGTGGAAATTTGTTGAAGAAGGTAGACACTTGTATAAGCATGAACGATTCAGTAATCATCTGCTAACCGAAAACACTTTCTCCTGTCATTCTTCGTGACTCTTGTAAGATTAAACATAACCAAGTTTGGGGAAATGTGGGTAATGTGTTATGTTGCAACTTCAGGCTTGACCCTTCTTTGATTGAACCTGAAGCATAGCTTTTTGTACTTGAACATCAAGGTTTCTTGATGAAAATGCATGCAACATGCATTTGAAATGCTGAGAGTTTTGTTACCTCTCTTAATGTTACTTTATGGCAATAATATGCTTGCTTTATTGTTTATTAACACCTTTAAGGAGAAGGGTCTTCATAGTGAGTGAAGAGAAGTAAACATGTGTTCAATATGTCTCGAGGAATAAGTAGTCTGCTTAAGAATGGCTGTGTCAACTAGATATTTCCACCAGCCTTTTTGGTGATTCAGTCAAGGTCTTCCTCCTTTCATTAGTTGTTTGCAGCTTATGTCATTTGTGGACAAATGCCATCAAGAGGAAATTACATTTATCTCAACGTGGATCTAAGGATTGAAGAGTAGAACTATAAGATTGGTTCTGATCCCTAATCTCTTATGTGAGGCTAGTTGAGATATCAGTTGTTCTTTGTTTGTGTTTCTAAAATTTGATAACAGGACAGAAATTTCACTGATCACGTTGAAGCATTACATTAAGCCCACAATATTTTGTTTAGCTTAGTGAACTGTATCTCGAGCAATCAATATGGTGTCTTGTACCATGTAACTTTTGCAACCTTGAATAATAGGCATCGATGATGTAGAAGAGCATAATTTTTTTTGGTCAAATCAAAGTACTACCTCTAACCTTTGGAGAAGAAGATTCCTTCTGTGCAAGTTCCTCCTGTTCTGTGCTCCACAATAACCATAGGAATACTAGATCAAACGTTGCCTTTCATGAGTGAGTGGTTATGATAAATTGTATAAAATTATATATATAATTTTAGTGAAGATGAGTTATCACACAAGAGAAAAGGTGGTCATAGTCCTCTTCCTCTTTAAAACAAGGGAAAATGATTCTAAATTTAGGTACCTTGAGAAATGAGTAAGTCTCAGATTTTATGTCTTTGGGTTTTAGAGATGTTCTTAGAAATTTGATTTCTAACACATGGATAGTTAAGCTTTTTTTGAGGCTATTCAAGACCAATAATGTGAATTTCATAGTTCCTTCATGCTAAGGACTTCGATGATATTCATCTTCTCTGTTGCATTAAGAGAGAGCCACACTTGCTTCAGTTTGCTTGTACAATCTGGAAAGCCATTAAATTTTTAGCGCTTTGATGATTTCTTGAAAAAAGGAATAAAGGCGCTTCTTTCAACATAAGCATATCAATGGAAGGTGAAGATATTGAGATTGCTAACTGATAATCTCGAACATTTCGGGACTCACTTTTGCACTTATGATTTTGCTATTGATAGCCATATCAAATGCAAAATTGGGGCAATGGGTTCCCTATCTAAAAGTGTAATCAGTTTACCCAAGGTGTGCCCCTTCAAGGAGAATGAAAAGTTTATAGACATACTAGGGTAGACATACAATCTGGCTCCCTGCTTTAACTACCATCTGTAGCCTATTTTTTTATAAAGTACATAGAGAATGAAATCCCATTTGTAGAGTCCTAGGCGTTGCAAATAAGAAGCTTAGCCCATAATACTTTCTTACACGATGAGAGGTTGAATTTGAATAAAAGTTTAGATGAGATAAATATTGTGTTGTTTGTTTAATTATTTTTTATGTAATAACATTGCACTTGCTGGCCAATGTTTCTATTATTCTTATTTATAGAGATACAACTAGGTTTAACCGGCTATCGGCTACCTACAACAACCCTCCTCTTTTATCCTAGCTTGGGATACACAGTGAAAGGATAAACAATAAGGCAAAATACTAGTGGAGTTTCTTGGACCAATGTGTCACTATTAATTTAAGCTTTGAAAGTTGTTAGATAGGTAATTTTATCTTAAGATATGACAATGACTGTGAGTGAATACAATGGACTTAGGCATTTTAGATAACTGACTCAGAAGTTGGGAGAAGAAAATTACAATTTGTTTGATTGCAAATTCTTTTGATAAATCATGTCTTTAGGATGATTTCTTTTTCCCAGGCTAATGTTCTTTTAGGATCCATATCTGTTAGGAACTCTTTATAAGTTGTGGGGAAAGTTAGCGGGCTTGACTTCTTCTGGATCTTGCAACGATATTATCTATCTAACTAAAGTTAAAGCTAACATAAGTATATGTTTGAGTGGATTACTAAGAAATTTGACAATATATATGCAATATGCACTCCAAATCAATAGCAGATGAATAACTTATTATTGGCTCTGAACATTTAGCTTACACCAACAACCTCACACAAACTTAAAACAATCGAGTGCTAACCAAACAGTGGTCTGATAACGCTTAACAATTACCAACAATGGGAAATATATTAATTAATTAATTACCTTCCCTTGCAGAAAACAAGTCGTGGTCAGGCCATATCACTCACAATTGTTGAAAAACATCAACATGTTTAACACATGCATAGTCTAACAGAAACATACTTGTTTCCATTTGTATTCATATATACTGTAAGTACTTTGGCTAAATGACATTTAAATACCACAAAGTTTCTCCGTTTTGGCACTTACCATGAACTGTTTTTTGTGGCAAATAAGTACATCAAGTTTTTAAAAAGGGTCACGCTTGTACCTTCTGTTAACCCACAAAATTAAATGGATTTTAACCCCCATTGGTTGTGATATTTACCATTCCTTTCTACCCTTCCTCTTTTTGAAAATTCTATCATTCAACTTTAAGCCTAATTCCCAAATTTACTGTAGTAACTATGTCTAGGGTTTTAAGTGCTTCTTCATGTTATGTAATTGTTGAAGAGAGGGAGATTAGGACTTGCCATTGCAAAGCAATATCAACTTTGGAAACGACTTTGACGAGGGAGAACTATGGCCAACGTTTTTTTGGGTGTCCAAACTACCGATTAAGATAAAAACGTAAATTTTTTAGTGAAAAAATAAGTCATTGTCTGCAAGCTCAAATGGTGATTAAGAAGCTATTATGTGAAAAAGAACTGTCTAAAAAAAGGGTGGATAATGGTGATGGGGAATTGAAAGTTATGGGAGATAAATTGAGGGAGAAGAAGTTGAAACTTGAAAGTGAAGTGGAGAGGAGAAATTACTTGAGAAAACAACATTAGGGTTAGAGAAAGTGAATTTGGAAAATTTGAAGTTGGATTGAGGGAGAAAGAAGAAGAATTGAAGAAGGGGTAATTTCGTCTTCTCGTCCAAAAACTAATGGTGTTAGCATAATTTCAAAGACGAGCCACTTATAGTAGGGTCATGACTCATGGTGTACAAGTGTCAAAACAACGAAACTTTGTGGTATATAAGTGCCATTTTATCCAAATACTTTTTTGACATGTAATTTGTTCAATCATTATGACATTCGGCACTAGTTTGGTAATAAACACGCACTTCAGTTTAATGGAAGGAATATATGGAAACAAGAGCTGAATACCAAAGAATTAATATCTTACATAAATGTTGAGTATGCTGACCCATGAAGGAAGTGAAATAAGTACTTGTAACCAAGGTTGCTGATAGCGGATCGCGGCGCGGCGCGGCGAGGTACCGCTAAGGCTATATCGGGCTATTGCGGCGAAATCGCGGCAAATAGCGCACAGTCAAATAGCGGTTAAATTTAAATATATTTAAATATCCTAAATAATAAGAAAATTCATAAAAAAATCTAAAATTTTAATTAGTTGTAAATTTCTTATATTATCAGTAAATAACAATTAGTAGGCTTGTTGTATGAATGAAACTATGAAGAAATTCAAGAAATATAGCATCATAATATGTGTGATAGCGGGTTTAGCCACTTTTAACCGCGAAAACCCGCTTTAAACCGCGAAAATCCGCTTTTAACCATGAAAACCCGCTTTTAACCCGCTAAAATCCGCTTTTACGTGCTATTCGAATGAATAGCGGATTTTCCGCTTAAGCCAGCCGCGAAACCCCTACGCGTAGCGCTGAAGGGTCGCGATCGCTATTTGCGCCGCTATAGTGCCGCTATTGGCCGCTATTGGCCGCTATTTACAACATTGCTTGTAACTGAACATACCTTACTAAAGACATTTGGTTGCCGACTTATACCTTAGCAAAGATACTTGCAAACACAAAACTTTAATTAATAAATTATAATGGTGGGAGTTCCTATAAATCAGATAAGTCCACAATTTTACCAAACATGATGCATGAGCTACTTCGGTTTTCCTTTTCTCTTTTTTTGTTTTGTTTTTGTTTTTGTTCTGCTATAAGAAAAGACAAGTTCTCACTGAAAGAAATGTTATATTCCCATCTAATAATTCTCTGGAAATTCTTAAGGCTATTTGAATAGCAGAGGGATTGACAATAAAAAAGAACACATTAGTTATTTTAACAGCATGCAAGTTGAAAATTTTAAAATTGGGAACAAGAAAAATGTTGGTAAGAAGATTTGGATTGGATATAATCCTGAGTGCACCAAATAAATTATTGATAAACAAATTCAAAATTGCATGATGAATATATCTAGCAGAAAAAAATACTAGTTGCTATCATGTGGAACGTTAATAGAAACATATGATTGTGGAAAATTGGGCCCTATATGCACAAACTGAGCCCAAAATTTACCAAAATAAAAATAAAAATAAAAGTTAATGGATAACGAGATTCAAAATTAATGCATATTGATTATATTGTACAAAAGATAAGCGTAAATTGCACTAACCCCTCAACAACTTTTAGCATTTTGCAATAAAACCCCAACAACTTCTTAAATCGCACTAAACCCCAATAACTATTGCACTAAAAGAGAGTCACTCTTGCTCCATTTGCTTATACAATATGGAAAACCATTCAATTTTTTAGAGCTTCGGTGATTTTATGAAAAAAGGCAATAAAGGTGCTTCTATCAACATAAGCATGGTATTAATGGAAGATGGAAGGTGCCGACATTAAGATAACTAACTGATACTCATGAACGTTTCGAGACTCACTTTTGCACACATGATATTACTATTGATAGCCACATCGAATGCAGAATTTGGGAAATGGGTTCCCTGTCTGAAGTAGAATCAGATAACCGAAGGTATGCCCCTTCAAGGGTATGAAAAGTTTATGAACATATAGGGATAGGCATACAATCTTGCGCCCCGCTTTAACTAACATCTGTAGCCTTTTTTTCGGCCCAACTACATAGAGAATGAAATCCCATTTGTAAAATCCTAGTCACTGCAAAGATGAGGCTTTGCCCATAATGCTTTCCTATAGGATGGAAGTGGAATTTGAATAAAAGTTTAGATGAGATAAATATTGTCTCATTTGTTTAATTATGTTTTGTGTAATAACATGCACTTTGCGCTGCTCGATGTTCTGTTATTCTTATTTATAGAGGTTGGCTATGTTTTACATCGAGTATGGGCTACCTAACACAACCTTTTTTTTTTCTTGGCTTGGGTCACACAATGAAAGGATAAACAATAAGACACAATACTAGCTGAGTTTCCCGGACCAATATGGCATTGCTAATTTAAGCTTTGAAAGTTGTTGGATAGTACGAGACTGACTATGTGTGAACACATGCTTTTTAGATGATCACTAGGAAGTTGGGAGGAAAATCACAACCTGTTTGGTTGCATATTCCCTTTTGATAGATCATGGTTTTAGAATCATTTCTTTTCCCAGTCTAATGTTCTTTGGGATCCATATCTTTTATGAGCTCTTTATAGGTTGTCGAGAAAGTTTGCGGCCTTGACTTATACAGGGACCATACTTTGAAAGAGCATCATAATGTCTGGAGAGAAACTTTCATCTATTGTCAAAGAAATTGGCTCTTTTGTAGTGGTCCTTGTTAAGAAGTGATTGCATGTAAGGATTTACGGCATTTATGAGAGTCATATCTGATTAGATCAGCCGTCCAGATGCTTGATTGCCTATATATTGTGACTTCTTTGTCAATTTCAGAAGACATTGAAGGATTTACCATTGCAAATCCTGAGCAATTTATTCTTTCTTTTGTCCTCTGAAACAGCCTTTAAACTATAGTGGAGATTGGAGGGTCATTGAAGCTTCTTTCTTTGGGGAATGAATTGTCTTGTCATTAGAGATGTATTAATTGTACATCCTATTGATTTTTGTTTGACGTTCCTGAGATGAGACTTGCTTTACTGTGGGAGGGCTTTCTTATGTAGTTTAACTTTTGGAAGATACTGGATGTGATCTTGAGAGTCAGGCTCCCTGCTTTGGACAGAGATCAAGGAATTGAAGATGTGTCACTCAACTTTAAAAAACTAGATGCTTTTAGCAAAGTTGATTTTTTGGGAAGAAGCAACGAGAGTTGGAAATTTGTTGGAGACACCTGTCTCAAAGATTTCCGCATGAATGTCTGCGAGGGTGCTAGGGAAAAGAACTAATCGAGGCTCCTCCTTTAATTGGAAAACTAGCATACATAATTATTTTTGGACCTATCAAGAACAAGCATTTGACAAACCAACAAGATCATTTTAGTTTCATTGTATTGTTTTTCTAATTAGTATGTCCATTGAGTGTTTATTTTGCTTTAAGTTGCAAGCATTTCATTGTTTTTTAACTCTGGAATGAATGTCTTATGAAATATTTTCTGATTCTGCAGTCGTACATTTTTATCCATCATTGGCGGAGTGGTTGCAGGAATCTGGGGAATCTCAGGCTGGACAGGCTTTATAGTTTATTTTTTGGTAATGGCTTTTGCTTCTTTGGGACTTGCATTGAAGGCTAAATTCTCTGCTCACAAATATTTTGATTCTTGGAACCGGGTCCTCTTTGATGGATTTTTTGGTGGGCTCATGGTATTCTTCAGAAACTTTACTGATTTTCCAGTTTTTCATGGTTTTAGTGCATCATATTGTCCCTATGTTCTTTTTTATATAGCTTCTTGATTATAAGTTCACTGTATGTATGTTTTACTTTAGGACTGTTTTTACTTTATTCCTGAAAGCAAGTTTGAATGTTTTTATTATCTTTTGAGTGCATGTAAATTTGAGTGCGCATTTACATGCACACCATGCATAATCTTGTAGACCCATTGTTGTAAATATGAATGCATGGAGTTATCTTGTCTGTTATGTTTTTGGGTAATTATTGCATTCAATTTATTTTAGCTAGATCATCTGGCAGTTTAACCCTCTTGGCTCCTGTCTCGCAGTGTCAGAATAGTATCAGTTAGTGCCCTCGCTTGCATTGCTTTGAAAAAGGCACTGTTTGGACTTTTAGCAAGTGGGTGAATCAAATACCTTTAACCCTCATTCCATTTTGTGGAACACTCTTTAAGAAATTAGATAATTAAACACCAGGAAAGATTGAACGGGATGCTGATTTTACTTTGTTTGCGCAGAAGTTTATAAATTCAGAGTCGCGGGATATGATGTTTTGTGTTGAAAATGCATTGTATCAGCATTGAAATACAACTGTAATGAACTTGTGGATAAGAAAACTTGAAACCTCCATCTTTTCAGTATTTTTCTCTTGTTCGTGTTAGGGGTTCAGAGAAGATTTCCATGATGGAAGAAAGAGTTGACCATATCTTAGTAAAATTATCTTGTATGTCCATGCACTTAGTTTTTGATAATTGTCTCCTCTTGAAAATTTGGGTTCATCATTGTTTAATCCAACCAAAGACCAAAGCCTTCAACTTGAAACTTAGGTTTCGTGGATTCTACTTGGGGTTTATGTAGTCAAGAGTATTGACTCCTTTTGTTAGTTTGGGCTTATTAGTGTTTTATCCAAGTAAAGCCAAAAACCTTCAGATTGAAACTTAGGTTTCATGGATTCTAATTGAGTTTGTGTAACCAAAACGCCCTTTCTGAACTTGTTTATGAGGTCTTATTGTTCACAATATCAGAAAGGGCAAATATCTAGTGTGACAAGCTGAATTGCTTTTAATATACACAATCTTTGTCTGGGAGTAGCTGTTCAACGTAGGTAGTAATAAAACTCTTCCCATAAATCTCCTTATTAAACTCTAAGCTTATAATCAGCACAAAATAACTGGAGTTCATCCGTAATCTTTTGGTTCAATTATAATTTTCTTTATATAGCGATCACATTTTTTGTGTGCATGATGTGGATATACTTTTGTTTTTTTTTATCATTAGTAGTTTATCTAATATTTTGTTGGCAATCTTTCTTTTTTGCAGTCGTTTGTGCTGTTCTGGACGTATCCTTTCAGAGTTAAGATTACATTTTCTTTCATGGATTTTATGACAGCATGTTTCTCTTTAATGTAGTTTTATAATTCTAAAATTATTTGATTTAATTCACGAATCTGGACACGATAATCTATTTTGGGATCAGATCTGAACCTGATGTGATAGATTCATAGTACCATAAACTGATAATGGTCATCACCTGTATAAATAATCTTGTGCCAGAGGCGAGACATATTAACATAATATAATGGCCCCAACTGGATTTAAAAGTGCATTTGGTTGTAAGGATTTTTGTCTTTTAACTCAAAGTTTTACCCTAACTTATTTTAAAACTGACCCACTTCCAAAATCATTCATACACCCAATAGTCTTCACCGAACTTATTTTTAAATCCAAAAACTGTATTTCAGTTCTTACATCCACAGTATTCCATAAGAAACTTGAAACTTCCAGCATACCCTTTTCTGCTCTTAAAATAACCCAGGAAAATAGCCGGTTATATATTGCACCGCCACTCAATGAAGATGCTCTCTCTCTGCCTTCGTGACCTCGCGGGTTCGTCCTACAGTATTCTGTCCTTTATTAGTTCACCCTTTGTTGTTCGCTTCTTGCTTCCTGCTCGATCCACTATTTGTCATGGGTTGTGGACATGTGGTTGTTTTGCAGTCCATCGTCCCATCCTCCGCTTCTCGACATCGTTGTGAGAAAAGATAGAGCATGTACAGGAAAGCATGTGGGCTTGGAGACTTTCCTGCAACAAGTTGGTGTTGAAGGCAGGGTTTGAAAGGTGATCATTAATTAGTAGTTAATGGGAGCTTTGAAGAGGGGGTCTGTGAGGTGTTTAGATCGTGTAAGGTTTCCAAGGGTTTGAGGATGGGAATGTAGATATGTGATCGCGATTTCTAATCACTCTTAGGTCATGTTATTTTTGCTTATTTGGAGCCCACATATTTTGTAATGTCCATTGGTCATAAATAAGAAATAATAATCTTGGAAGTTTAATTCATATTTGATGTTTGATAACAAGTTTTATGTGTAAGGGGTTGAATTTATGGTTAGAAATAATAAACTAAAATTTATTCTACGGTTAGAAGCAAAGTTTAGCTCCTTATGAGGATCCATCCATACTTCTGGCATAAGCATAAGAAGTTATACTTTTGGTATAAGGAGGTATCATATGTATAAAGAGCCATAAATTGAATAGTCAAGAATATGACATATTAAACTTTCATATATACTTTTATTATAGTTACATCTTCACATGTAATACATTTTTCTTATTATGCCTTGAAAAATTCCTTGCACATATATTCCATACTTTTAATTTCATTCTTGGAGAGACAACCGACAACGAGCTATACATTTCTCATAAAAGGCAATAGTTTTCTCATAAGGAGTTATATCTTGTAATAAGGAGCTATAGTTTTGGATAAGATGCTATAATATGTCATGAAGAGTTACACTTTGATTAGCAAAACATAGACGTATTTAACTTCCATAATTTTATTCTAGATACATTTACATATGTAGTTCATTTTTCTCATGGAACTAATACACTTTTTTTTGGCACATATACTTCACAATTTAAGTTTCTTGCTTGAAGTGACAAAATCCATAAAAAGATATACTTTTCATATAAAAAGCTATATTTTTCTCAGAAAGAGCTAGAATTTTCCTGTAGGTAGTTATAATTTGCATTAAGGAACTATACTTCTACTATAATGAGGTACAATATCTCTCGTAAAGAGCTACAATTTGCACAACTTAGATCAGGATATATTAAGCTTCTGTATTTTTATTATGGTTGCATCTACATTTGTGACACCTTTTTCTTGTTGTACGCTGACAGTTCTTTGCACATATATTTTACACTTCTAATTTCTTGGAGAGACGAGACTCGTAAAGAGCAATACTTTTCGATAAACAACTATATTTTTCTTGTAAGGACTTATACTTTGCATGAAAGTATGAAACAGCTATACTTCGGATATAAGGAGCTACAATATGTCATAAAGAGCTAGATTTTGTTTTGATATATACATGAGGATTCTTGTGCAAAATGTAAGGAGTTTTAAGCCTATCAAATTTTGGGTATAATTATGTCATAAAAATGCTATATATATTTCCATTAGTTAGAAAAAATGCTCTTTTGTATACAGTGGCATAAAAAGTATTATATTTTTTCATCGGGTATTTACTCAAACACCTAACGGGCAATATCAAAGTCATCACATTTCGTTTTAAGAACTTAGGCTAAGGTTCAAAGGTCAAAGTATATTTTGAGGGTCTTGGGGACGAGGAAAATATCGGATTTGATTTTATCCACGAGCATGCAGTAGAAAGCAGACAGGACATAGACTCATCACTAGGGGTGGCATTCAACTATTGTTTGGTCGTAATGAGAACACCTTCTTTCATTGGGCGATTTTATTGAACGGGTTGTGGGTTGAGTGCAGAGAGAACAGGGCGTTGTCGGGATCATAGGTGGCAAGTTCAACTTTGAGAATAGTGGTGTGAGCACGGATTTAGCAGTGGTAAGGGTTAGAGGGGAACTGGTGGAGCATGAGGAGGTGTTAGGTCCCACTAGAAGCGGAGGGAGAAGAGAGGTTAGAGGTTTACTGAGAAGTGAGTAAAGAGGAGGAGAGAATGAAGAAGACAAGATGGTATTTTGGGTTTTCAACTTTTTTGAGTAAAACAATGTACAAATGCTTTGTATTTGATACTTTGGGTTTAAAAATAAGTTGAGTGGGGACTATTAGGTGTACGAGTGGTTTTAGAAGTGGGTGGGTTTCTAAATATGTTGGAGTAAAACTTTGGGTTAAAAGACAAAAACCCCTTGATTGTAATGCTCATATCTTGAGCACTAGTGAATGTTTGTCACTTGCTCAAACTAGGTTGAGATACCTTAATCATTACAGAACAAAAAGCATATACAATTAGATTAAAGTTTTTTGAGGTTGAATGCAATGCTTAGGAGATGCTATGCAAACGCTTTCCAGTGTGACATAAACTTGGAATAACTTCTTACGAATTTAGCGATGATTAAGAATACAATCTCTACAGATCCGATAAGAAAAAACCAATTAAAGTAAACTCTGGATCTAAAGTAAACTTTTCTTTAGTTTATGGGATTAGGTTAAATAAGTTTTAAGACATTTTAATGTTAATACACATTTTTTGAACTTGCATGAGTGGCCTAACCAACATTTTCTAGGATTTTTGTATGTTTCGTGGAAGCCAGCTTTTGCGAGGGTTAGATGAAATGGTTCACTAGTTAAGTTTCATCAATATAATTATTTTCATATTTAGTCCTGTTGACTGTTTAGCTAAACCTATGGGAATCCATTGAAAACACAAATATTCACGAAGATCTGAGCTTAAGACTTTCCAGTCTGACAAAACAGAGACTTTAGCAATTCAATTGATTTAAATATCATCGACATCGACTCTTTTTTTAGTTTTGGCATTTCACTAATACTATATTTGGCATTATGGATTAAACACGCTGTGTTTTTAGCTTCAAGAATTTTTTTCCTTAACGCCATATACAGATTTGCCTATGATATTGTTCACATATTTTAAGTGAATGGAGCATCTAGCTGCGGAGCTGATGGATGGAGCTTATAGAACTAAAAGATCTGTTGCATTAATGCAGTTTCTTCCTTTAGTCACAATTATGGGCTGCTAGAAGCAACCATAACGCTGTAGATTAGTATGCACAAACCTTTTGATTTCAAAATCTAAGATGTTGTATAATCTTTGGTCGTTTAAGTTATTGCTTTGGTGATTGAGACTCCACACTTGCGTGATAGATCACATGACTCTTATAAAGTGGATTTTTTATGAGGTATTCAGGCATTTATCCTGATATTCTGCTGCTTGTCTTGTTCTTGTGAATTGATGTTTTTAGTTCTTAGTTTTTTTTAATTGCGCTTTTGACACATATGGGAATCGAATCTAGGCCCCCAACGTGGGAGCAAGCGGCTTTGTCATGTGATGTACTAGTCCGCCGCGATGTTTCTAGTTTTTAGTATTGTGCAGTTTTTCAGTATTGTGCAATTGTGGAAGTTGTGTAAGCCAATGTTTACATAAACTTCACCACGATGCAGTTTTGATCCAAAGTAAGTAGTGTCTCTTTCAATAACATTTCTATGTTCCTGCTTTTGACTATTTACCCATGAATTTTTAACTTTGAATAATTTTTTTTTAAAAAAATTAGCATGAATTTCTAATTGAACAAATTTTTACTGTAGACCCAAATAAACTTTTAATTACCAAAATCGACTGTTTTTTTTTAATTACTAAAATCGACCCGTTTTATGCCACGTAGGCTTAATCTCGTTTCCTAATTAGTCGGGGTTGTTAACCCCGACTGTTTAGGAGTTGTTAAATCCTAATTAGAAGCTTTAAAACCCGATTTGTAATACCCTAAACAGTCGGGGTTGGCAACCCCGACTAATTAGGAAACGGGATTAAGCTTACGTGGCATAAAACGGGTCGATTTTGGTAATTAAAAAAAAACGGTCGATTTTGGTAATTAAAAGCTCATTTGGGTCTACAGTGAAAATTTGTTCATTTCTAATTCTGTTCGCTGTTACGTGTTTGACGATTGATGAGAGAATGCTCATGAGAATGTTTGAAATATTAATACACGTGTGTATAGAATATGCATAGTAATGACATGCAGATTCATCTGTATTAGGATTCGATGTATTTTGAATCCTCCAATTTCCACTGCGGACATGTTATTTCATCTATCCTCAGCTATCTTTTGAAGAAACTTGGAGGATGACTTTTTTTTTTAAATTACGGGAAGTTTTTTTTGAACAAATTTTCACTGTAGACCCAAATGAACTTTTAATTACCAAAATCGACTGTTTTTTTTTAATTATCAAAATCAACCCGTTTTATGCCAGGTAGGCTTAATCTCGTTTCCTAATTAGTCGGGGTTGACAACCCCGACTGTTTAGGAGTTGTTAAACGTCAATTAGAAGCCTTAAAACCCGATTTGTAATACCCTAAACAGTCGGGGTTGGCAACCCCGACTAATTAGGAAACAGGATTAAGCTTACGTGGCATAAAACGTGTCGATTTTGGTAATTAAAAAAAACGGTCGATTTTGATAATTAAAAGCTCATTTAGGTCTACAGTGAAAATTTGTTTTTTTTTCTTTTTTTACCGTACTTTCATATAGTAGAAAAATAGAACGTACAGACAAAAGCCCATATTAGAGCTTATGACTCACACGTAACCAATGGTGCTGCAAAAGTAGGGAGATGGCCTTCACCTAGAAAATAATAAAAGAGCAAAAATATTAGCCCAACATATTAACAGACTCCTGAAGAAAGTTAGCTACCTCTGTCATAAGCCGTTGAGTTTCTCTAGGCAACTCCCGACTGATGGAAAGGCGCAAGCATATTTCCCCCAGGGAGTGACCCATGCTTGGATGAGGAATCAGCAGCAGCATTGCCTTCACGAAAACAGTAGATAACGATGCGCCTCTTGCCAACAATGGTTCAGCTGCCAAAGCGGACATCGCTTCCCAACCTAAGGATACAAGAGTCTTAGAATCAGGTCGTCAAGAAATTAGTTTCGTCCGATGGCTAATGCATGAGCCTCACCCTGAAGGCTGGTACCGCAACCCACGGGCCCAGCAAACGCGCACAAGAGCTCACCTTTGTGATTGTGATCGCGAACGACACCACCCACCCACCGCGAGCTGATCACCACGGCAGGAGCCATCCACATTCAAACCGAAGGAGTTGACCAACGACGGATACCAAGCAACAGAAAAGGTTCTCTTGATGTGGGGGGGCCCTTACCCTTGATACCAATCCGCGACAAAGAATCAACGCCAGACTTTTGAGGATCTCATCAAAGGCTTTATAGGATGGTCAATACGTCGCAAGGAGTCAGTACCCGCCAGTCTAGCATGTAAAAACCCCTTAGGACACGCCATCATAGACACAATTATTTCTGAAACTCCGGATTCGACTGCAAATGGCTATGCACGTAAGCCTACCTATCGTAGAGAAGTGAGATTTGCCTTTGCATTTCGTAATGACTGAGCAAGCTCACTTTGAATAAACAGATGGTTTAGAGATTCAACCCGGTGATGAGTGCGTCAAACACATGTGGAAGCCATCGAAATGCCACTGCGTTGAGCCAAAGAGTCAAGGGATAAATGAGAGAGCAAGATGAAACTCAGGAATCCATCTATCCAAACAAAAAGATGAATTACATTCGCCCACGGTCTAACTTCATTTCCACCGAAAGGGAGACTTCTTGACAAAACCCGACTAGGGGATGGCCCCCCCCCACCCCCCTCTCTCCCTATACATCATAATATGAAGAGATAATTTCAATTATAAATTTATACTGTTAAAAAAATTTGAATTGTTTAGACAATGAATTATTTTGTAACCAAAGGAAAATATTACCTTACCAAAAAGTTCAATATTTACGAAATACAGAATATCAGACATATAAATTCTTTTAAAATATTTGATAAATATTCAATAAACATTCGATAAGAATTCAACGGAAATTTGAGAAGATTATTTGATTTAATATCTCAAATATTCTATTTAATTTGAATTTTTTTGATTATAGTACGAGAACCATGTGGTTTAGGCGAAGCTATTCAAAACCCGACCCGTTAGCACCGTTGAAGAAGCGAGTCGAGGCCCAAACAGCGCAACCCCTGATCAGTCCCGCCCGTTCTTTTCTTTTCTGCGCTCTTTGATCGTCAATAGGGTGAGCTTCCAAAATTTTCTCTTTGAATTTTATTTCGTTGTTTATTTATTTTCCAATATAAATTCGATCTAGGTTTTTATTCTAATTGTAGCTACGAATTCTTATTTTGGTTTCGTAAATGAAATTATGTTAGTTTATTGTTCAAATTCATCTTATGTGCCTTCTTTTTGACGAACTAGGGTTTTATATTTTCAATTTTTTTTTAGAATAATTAGTGAGAGAAGAGGCATGTAATTTGAAATTTTC